TGTTTTCCATGCTTTGTTAATGCCAGACAACCACAGCAATTTTGTTAATGCTAAACATCTAGTTGATGCCAGAGAACCACATCAGTTTACAAAATGCTAATTTTTCATGCTAGTAATTCTAGATAATTACAGCAATGCTAATTACCCCTGCTAGTTAATGCTACAACCACACTGGCATAAGGAGATGCTAATCACCCATGCTAGTTAAGGTAGACCACAGCAGTTTCAGAAAAGTTAATTATCTGTGCTAGTTAATGCTAGACAACAACAGCAGTTTAGGAAACACAAATTATCCATGCTAAGTAATGCTAGTCAGTCACACTGGAGTTGGGAATTGAAATGCTAATTATCCTTGAAAGTTAATGGCAGACAAAAAACAGAAACTGATATGTATCCATGATAGTTCATGATAAATGCTAAATAACAACAGCAGTTTAGGAAACATTAGTTAAGAATGCTAGTTAATCCCAGACAACCATAGCAGGGAATGCCAACCATATTAGAGAATGCTATTTTTTTGTGCTAGTTAATGCTAGACAACCACAGCAGTTTAGGAAATGCTAGTTAACAATGCTAGTTAATGCTAGACAATCACAGCAGTTTAGGTAATGTTATTGTTAGTTAATGCTAGGCAATCACAGCAGTTTAGGAAATGCTATCAATGCTAGTTAATGCTAGACAACCACAGCAGTTTAGGAAATGTTATCAATGCTAGTTAATGCTAGACAACCACAGCAGTTTAGGAAATGTTATCAATGCTAGTTAATGCTAGACAATCACAGCAGTTTAGGAAATGTTATCAGTGCTAGTCAATGCTAGACAATCACAGCAGTTAAAGAAATTATAATTATCCATAATAATTCATCTATATTAGTTAATGCTAAGTAACACCACAGTTTAGGAAATGCTAGTTAGCAAAATCACTTCAGCACCATATTAACTGGTTATGTTGATAGTAGTTTAGTTTACTGTGCTGTATCCCACTGTTCACTGTAAACGTGAAGTGATGGAAGCACTAGAAGGTTTTGCTTACAGACAAAACCAATTTCAGCAAAAGATATAATGACACGGTAGACAAACTGCATATATATTTGCTCGCTTTATCTTGTCAACCGATACATTTTTGCCAGGCAGGCAAAAACGTCTGGGCACCAGAGGTTTATTTCATAGTCTAGACTGCAAAAAAGATTTAACAACTGAAAATATGTGGAAGATTGGCAGAAGAGTAATTTTCCTACTCAGCGATTTACAGTAAGATTATTCAGGCATTATTCAACTCATCTCTCCTCAGTTTTGCTTCCTTCAAGAACTCTGCTTTACTCCTTAACAGGCATTTCTTTCAGTGTGAATGTGCTCAGTGAAGTGCTGGTCCATGAAGAGTGACAGGTTCAAATGAGCTGTCAGTCATTTTTTCTGGACATAGATGCTGCTGATGACGACTGGACGTCCCTTTGCCTTCCCAGCCCCCTCTATGATCCCAGGCATAGGATGACAAAGGGAAGTCCACAGGTCACATGACTGGGGATGGGAGGGTTTGGAAGTGGGAGGGAAAAGTTGGCTAAACGTTGTCTTGTTGACCGTTAGCTCATTCCCTCCAATTGATGGCAGAGACATGCAATGCCTAAGCCAATGTCTGGGTCAGGAAGGTTAGCTGATCGATCCATTCAAACAGAACAGCACATGCTGGGGTTTGTGGGTTAGTGGTGGTCAGTGGAGATGGACGAGAGGCATGTACAGTACTGTGAAAAGGAGATGTTTCTGAGGAGACAATCTGAAGATAATCCACTTGCTTAAGGAATGGGAACGTCAAAGGAAAATAAGTGAAAATAAGATTTTCCAAAGTGAGAGTTTAAAAATGATTAATAGATCCAAAGAAAACGGGAGTCCTAACAACCACCTGGAACACCTGGGAGACCAGCAAATCTGTCACCATCAGATAAACCAAGCTGGAAGTACTAAATGGCTGTTTTGACTGGAAATGAATACATGGAGTGTGGTTCTGTATACTGAGTATACCAATATACAGTCAGGATAAATGCAGAAAACACATTTAACAGAAAATTACACCAAAGCCACAGCAACTAAACATAAGATCAGATTTTTCAGTATCTACTGTGTTCACTCTTTACCTTCATTACAGCTTTTGTTCTATTCAGGAGACTCACTTTCAATGTTTAATAGAAATCTGCAGGGATATTTTTCCACACCTCCAAAGTTCAGTCTTAGGAGTTGGTCGCACTTTTTGCTTCTCATGATCCAAATAATACATTTAGATTCCTCTATAACATTTAATCATTTTGAGCTCCAGTTTTGGAAACTCCTGTTTTGAAACTCGCAATTAAGAAAAGCTCAGGCCTGTCATTGTGAGGCTGTTTTGTTATCCCTGTTATTGTTTTTTCTTCTTTTCTCTCTTTCCCCAATGTACTCAAAACAGTGTTAACTGCTTAACATACAGACTCCTTCCTCTTTCTTTCTTTCTTTCTTTCCTTCAGATGTCTGTTTCCTTTCTATCACTCATTCTTTTCTGGTTTTCTTTATTTTTGTCTTCCTTTTTCTCTGTTTCTTTCATTCTTGTTGTTCTTTTCCTCTCTTTCACTCATTCTTTCTTTTCTGTCTTTATTTTCTTTGTTTCTTTCATGCATGTTTATTTTTCTGTTTCTTTCTTTCTTGTTTATTTCTGTTTCTTTCTTTTCCTTTCTTTTTCTGATTCCTTTTTCTTTTTTGCTGTCCTCTTTATTAATACATAATACAGCTTAAACTGCTTAATGCACAGATTCTTTTTACTTTTGCTTTATTTCTTTTTTCTTCTCTTTCTGCCTTTTTGTTATGTTCTGTCTGTCTCTCTCTCCTTTTCTTACTTTCTTTCTTTCTTTTTTTTTGCTTTATTTCTTTTTTCTTTTCTTTCTGCCTTTTTGTTATGTCCTATCTGTCTCTCTCTCCTTTCTTTCTTTTTTTCTTTCTTTCTTTCTTTCTTTCGTCTGTTTCATTACTTTTTTTCTTCTCATTTTATTATACTTGAATTCTATGACTCATCACTTAGAAACATTATTTTATGACATGTTCGGGCCTTGTAATCTCTGTATTTCCTTCAGAAAATTCTACTATATGTACTAACATAATTATATAGGGTCCTAATTAACTGCAGACGTCACCAGATTACTGAGTCTTCCTGCTGTAGCCTGTATGAGTGACTGTGTTCTACAGAGTCTGACAGTGTTGTTATTGAAGGGGAGCTGAGTGTCATTGGGCTACAGTTCAGCATCTGATGCCATTGTGCTCTCATCCGGAGCTCCTTCACTGAGTGAAGTGCTTTGACACAGTGCTCTGAGCTGAATTGGACGTCTGAGTGGATTCTATTGTGGGCAGCCAGCTCTCCACTGACCTCTTGTGAATCATAGGAATGGGAAACTCTGACAGGTGGTGCAAGTAGCCTGCAGTCTGACTCTGCTTATATCCTGTACTGTACATTTCCAGATGTATACTAGTTGATTCACAACTGAGTTGCCACTTTATCAGAAACACATACCTTAGATGTCAGTTACAGATTGTAACCCATCTGTTGCTGAAGCGAAGTGCGGCTATAAGGTAGATGTTTCCAATAAAGTGGCCGGTGTACAGTACTGTGCAAAAGTTAGAGAGCTTGCATGAACAAGTTATTAACCTTTCAGGAGGTATTTTAAAGGAGATTACATATACATTATATGGCCAAAAGTACATGGACATCACTCCAGTTTATTGAGTTTAGGTGTTTCAGCCACATCCATTGCTAACAGGTGTATAAAATCAAGCACACAATCATACAATCTCCATAGACAAACGCTGGCATTAAAATGGATCATACTAAAGAGCTCAGGGATGTTAAACATGGCACTGTCATAGGACACCACCTTTGCCACAATTCAATTTGTGAAATTTCAGTCCTGCTAGAGCTGCCCTGGCCAACTGTAAGTGGTATTATTTGTAAAATGGAAGCATCTAGAAGGAGCAACTGCCAATGTAACAATCAAGCTTCACTATCTGGCAGTCTGATGGATGAATCTAGGTTTGGTTGATGCCATAAAAACACTACCTACCATAATGCACTGTGTCAACAGCCAAGTTTGGATGAGGAGGGATAATGGGCTGGGGCTGTTTTTCAGGCCCCTTAGTTCCAGTGAAGGGTAATATTAATGCCACAATGTACAAAGAGATTTTAGACATTTAAATACTTCCAACTTCGGGCAACTTTTTACACAGGACCGTTTTTAGTTGCAGCGTTGCCCCTGTGCACAAAACGAGGTCCAGAAAGACATGGTTTGACAAGTTAAGTGTGAAGGAACTCCAGTGGACTGCACAGAGTTTATTTAGGCATGATGGTCGTGTCCACATACTTTTGACCGTATAGTATAAGATAATCCACTTGCATAAAGAAATTAGAAGGTCAAAAACAGATGTTTTCAATACTGAAATTCAAAGAATGGTTAAAAGCTACAGTGAAGATAGGGCTCTTAACAACCACCTGGAAGACCTGGTAGACCACCAAAACTGTCCCCAACAGATAAAAGATATTAAGATATCTCTCTTGGAGATAGGAGAAAATCAAGCTCCACTCTTGCTTCAGAACTGAAAAAGTATTCCTTGGATTGTGAGAGGCAGAAAGTACAACCAACTTCTAAGACTGAACTTTAGAGATGTGGAAAAATCTCTAATTACTTAAAAATGGTTGCACTTGATGGTTGTTTAGATTGCAAAGTAAATAAAGGGTGGTTTTTCACTTTGTACAGTACTACATATGGTGCTAAGTATCGTATATGGCCAGTAACACTGGTGCATGTGTAATTGATAAGGTAAAAGATCCAGCTTCTATCATAATAGCTGAAATATCAGCTCTGGGTTAAGCATGCTTTCCTAGGTCAGTCTTAAAGGGAAAGACACAGTGCAACATCCACAGGGCTAATAATGCACTCAGATCATTATGCAACACTGTGACTGAGTTAGAGGTGAGCAGGTGGTGGACTCACGTGTGTTGATCTTCTGCAGGGAGATGTGTTTCTCCAGCTGCCGGCGAAGCTTGACCTCAGCGCCGTACTTGCCCGTGGTGCCGTTGTCTGCCAGGATGAAGTGGGAGTGCAGGCTGTTCAAAACGGTCAATTTACTCATTGGGTTGGACATGGTCTGGTAAGGCCGGACCACCTGCCACATATTACAGAAAAACAGGGTTCGCTCATGGTCAAAGATGCAGTCTGATGGTTATGAGTGATGACTGAAGGTGTTGTCTGATGGTTGTGAGTAACGGTTAAAGGTGCAATCTGATGTTTACGAGTAATGGTTAAATATGCTGTCTGATGGTTTATAAGTGATGGTTAAAGGTGTAGTCCAATAGTTATGATCGGTGATTAAATGTGCAATCTGATGGATTCTAAATTATGATTAAAAGTGCAGTGCGATTTTTATGAGTGATGATTAAAGGTGTAGTTTAATGGTTGTGAGTGATGGTTAAAGGTGCACTCTGGTGTTTATGATTGATGGTTAAAGGAACAGTCTGTTTGGTTATGAGCGCTGATCTGTGATCTGATGTGCTGCGATCTCATGGGTTAAGTGATGATTAATAGTGCAGTCTGATGGTTTATGAGTGATGACTAAAGGTCTTGTCAGATGTTTATGAGTGATGATTAATAGTGCAGTCTGATTGGTTAAAGATATAGCCTGACTGGTTATGAGTGATGATTAAAAGTATTGTGATGGGTTATGAGTTGAAATAATATTATAATAAAATAATTTATGATTAAAGATGCACTCCAAAGGGTTACTAGTGATGATTATCGGTGCAGTCTGATGGTTTATGAGTGATGACTAAAGGTGCACTCTGGTGTTTATGAGTGATGGTTAAAGGTGCAGTCTGACTAGTTGTCTGAGCATAATGCTCCCTGCCACACTGCAGGGCGCAGTGGTGGTTAAAGGTTTTGTATATAGTGCAACAGTCAGTTAACCTGAGTTTCTAACTTTCAATACCACTCAACACAGGCAAAGAGAGGAAAAGAGAGAAGTCGATATTAGTGTCACTTTTCTCTTTTTCACTGACGTTTTTCTTCATAACAGCATTATAGTACTTCAGTGAAAGAAAGTGAACACATCTGGCCTCAGAATGAGAGAGGGTGAAAGAGAGAGAGAGAGAAAGAGGGGGAAGATGAGGCAGAGAGAGCAAACAGAAGTGGGTAGTTATAAATAAGAGATAGCTCAAGTGAAGCGTGTGTTTTTTAACTGAGCCTGTGTAAGTAAGCTGACACATTGCGGTCCGCTTAAATTATTCAGCACATGTTGTATCATTGTTAATGCATGTAGAGAATACATTAATGTCATTTTTTAAGACCTTTTAATTTTCTAAAATCAGAGCTGCTAAGCAGCAGGACAGGCACCATGTACTAACTATATATGGTACATAAACTAGGAGTTTCTAAATATATATATACTGTTCTGCACAGAATTCAAATGCTGTTTTTATTCACTTTGTGTGGTATTTATGTCCAGATGAGTTGTATTTACAGTATGAACAGTTGTAAACACCCCCCAGTCAAATTCCATGTTTTGTTGATTTTATAAGTGAAAATAACACATCCTCCACAGAGCACACACTTAAATATGATATTTTTCTGTTCAATTTTAGTGCACAAATTCTATTTACCTGCCGAGTTTAACATATTGGCAAAAAACGAAACAAATTTTTTTGCAATTTTTCTTGCAAACATTTTTGCAAATTTTTTGTTTCATCAAATAAACAGTAAGTGTGCATTAAAACGTGCAGAAGTGTGTTCTCTGTAGAGGATGTATGAACTTATTTTCACTTAGAAAATCAACTATACGAATTGACTGGGGGTGCCCCAACTTTAGAATATGACTGTAGGTGTGATGACTTACATCTTTGCCCACGAGGTCCTCCTGGTTCTCTACTATACCCCAGGGGGCGATGCCAATGGTGCAGATTTTGCCCCTGGATTTGGAGGCGTGGTCTTTCAGAGCGTCGCCCACATGCCTGATGACCCCTGTGTGTGGAGATCAGAGTATGAGGATTATTACAAACAAAACTAGACAGTTGCTTTTTGGTGAGAAATTAGTCATCAGCTCTCATCTGAATGACAATGGACTTAATGTATGCACTGATGAGCCGAAACATTATGACCACCTGTCTAATGTGCTGTCCTTTGTGTGCTTTTTAAACAGCTCTGACTGGCAGAGACATGGCTTCTGCTTAAGATATCAATATCAATATATTATTAGAAATAACACAACAATATACATACATACATACACACATTATATATATATATATATATATATATATTGCTAATAATATGTTTAAGTTTAATTTTACAAAACATTTAAATATAAACTCAATACTTACAACATATGGACTAAAGTATTGGGACACCTACACATTACACCTACAGGAGCTTTTATGACATCCTATTCTAAATCCATAGGCATTAATATGGAGTTGGTCCCCCCTTTGCAGCTGTAACAGAAAATGCAACATTCAAGAAATGCAGCATTTTCATGTCACTACTGAAACACAGTGCACACCTGCATTTCAGAACAGGAAGTAAGACTGTATCCCTGTGCCTCATGGCCACTTGGTGAGCAGTTAGATCCCACTGTTTTGTCTCAAAGTCTTGACAGTCATGTACTGGCTAGAGTTTTTAAGTTCTGCTCAAGAAAACACTGAAACAGTCACTACTGAAACATTTGGTAAACCTTTGGTAATGTCATGATTGTTTTGGTTGTGACAAAATGGAATCAGAATGGACCTCATAAAGGACTAGGCGTTTCCTGAATGCTCCTTTTATATCCAAGCGTGACTGCATCACCTGTTTAAGACGGTTTTTGAACATTTCACAACGTTCCTTTGCTGACCTGACCCAACTTTTTTGTAACATGCTGCAGGCATCAATTTCAAAATGACGTTGATAAGATAAAACATTACATATCTTGTCTTGGTTTTGTTGTTTGAGTACATCTCAGCATTTCACTTGCTGTCTCAATCTTTTGGTACAACTTAAGTACAGCACTTTGTTGAAAGCGCAGCTGTAACACACCTGTATTGACGCCCCCGGTGAAGATCCAGGCACCGGTAGTCATGGCGGCCTTGATGAGGCCCTTGCCGAACACCTGCTTCAGTTTGGGCTGCAGCTCGAAGTTCTGGAGACCCCCGTGTACAGAGATGAGCAGCTTGGGGAGCTCCAGCTGCCACTCTTTAGTCATCAGGTGCAGCAGCAGGTCCGGCTTTGTGTCGTAGGACACCCTCACGTACTGACGAATTGGAAGCATGAAAAAATAATGGCAAGTTAGACTTGATGGGTCATCTAGAAAGCAGCGGAGTCGACTCATTAGGGATGATAATTAATACTAAGAATGAATAATTAAATGTATTTATTAACACAAAAGAGTCTTCGTTTCTGGAAGATAATACATCTTTAATGCTCGTTATATATGTACATTTCAGTTAATAATTGATAAATTAGTAACGAAATGTAATATAACTATTTTATGAATTTGACCAGTTTATTGTGTAATATTTTAATTATTCAAACCTATATCTTGGTCCATTATTGGCCTATTTGTGAGCATTCCTCAAATGGATCATATTGACAGATGCAAGATCAACACTTTGGCAGCACATTACATAATAAAAGTCCAACAATTAAAAGGGGAATTCCAATGTTTTTCAACATTTCTGCACATTGAAATGCTCAATATGTAGTCATTTAAAGTGGTCTAATGTGAAATTCTATTCTGGAGAAACTTACCGATTCAGAACTGTTCACAGTGGTGGAGACAAGTAAGTAACCAGATGTCTGATGAATTTAAAGCCTCTAAGAGCTACAGCACATAAAGTTATTACATAAATAACTTTCATAAATGTGCTGCCTGATGTTTGAAACACTTTTATGGTAGTTGTGAGATAAAATTTAGGCCTAAAATGCATAAAAAAAGACTTTGCCAGCTATTTTGCCATCATCAACGTTATAAATATAAAACTTAGAAGACACATGTAGGTTCACTGGTGGTTTTGGATAGTGAATAAAATGGCTATATTTATGTTGTAGACATGGCGACCCCTGGTTACTGTCACCACCACTGTAAAGAGATCTGAGTTGGTAAGTTTTTCTAGTCAATTACTTTACTTGACTTTGTTTACATCAAAACTACTGAATTTTGTGTAAATTTTGAAAAATAGGAGATGAGCTTCTGCTTTAATAGTGAAAAAACTCTGGCCTCTGTTACCATCGCTTTGTTGGAATGCCCCCCTCCCTGGAACTCGATGGTCCCGAAGGCATCGGTGGGACTCAGCTGCGTGTGCTTGCTGATGGACCATTTCTCTGACAAGCTGTCGTTCTTCGACAAGCGCTCCGACTTGTCGTTCTGATTGGACGAGATGCTGGGGGGCAGGCCCACATGCTGGCCAATGAGACGCCCACAACAGCACCTGTCAGGGAGAAAGGTACAGGGAGCAGCGAACAAGTGATTTAAACTGTGGTCTTATGTACTCAGGTTGGGTTTATTATAGAGAGTTTAAAGGGGTACTCCAAAATAAAAGTAGCACTAAATATCTTTGCAGCATTCTGTAGTGCAGCATTGCCCATCAATGTTCTCTCACTACAATACCCAGCATGCATTGCGCAAATATGTCTGTCCTGCTACAGCGATAAAGAAATCCTGACTGATGCAAATAAATTATGCAAATAAATATGCAATTCCTTCAGCATTGGCCAGGTAGCAAGGAAACAAAAGCCTTACAAAAGGTCCACCCACCTCAAAGTTTCCTCCCACCTTCAAAATACTTTATCAAAAGAGGGATTTGCTGGTTTGTAACCTGGAACATTTCTCTCAGACTGTTGGGGCACCACTGGAGGATGCAAGTAGGCATGTTTTCAGCAGATGTTTACAGGTTTTATTTTGGCCAGAGTGCCTCTTTAACTTTTGGGAAAACCTGCATGAAATGTACACTATATCGACATCCCTGCTAATTACTGAGCTCAGGTGTTTCAGCCACACCCATTGCTAACAGCACATAGAGATCACCTATTCTCTGTTGCATCACTCACTACAGAGTTCTGAACAGCTTCTGAACAGCTTCATTAAATGGGTTTTCGTGGCTAAGAAGCTGTATACAAGCCTAAGATCACAATGCGCAGTGCCAGCAGGAATGGTGTAAAGCACACAGTCACTGGACTCTAGAAACAGATGAATGATGGACAAATCTAGGTTTGGTGGATGACAGGAGAACCCTATCTACTGGAATGCATAGTGCCAACAGTAAAGTTTGGCAGAGGAGGGATAATGAGCTGGGGCTGTTTTTCAGGCCCCTTAATTCCAGTGAAAGTTAATGTTAATGCTACAGCATACAAAGATATTTTAGGCAATTATATTCCAACTTTGCGGCAACAGTTTGGGGAAGACCGTTTCCTGTTCTAGCGTGATTGTGCCCCTGTGCACAAAGCGAGCTCCATAAAGACATAGTTTGACCAGTTATGTGTGGAGGAACTCCACTTGCCTGCAAATACCTCGACCTCAAACCCACTGAACACCTTTGGGCTGAATTGGAACATCGATTGTGAGCCAGGCCTTCTCATCCAACATTAATGTTTGATCTCACAAATACTCTTTTGATTGAATTGGCCACAAATTCCCACAGACACACTCAAAAATCTTGTGGAAAGCTTCCCAGAAGAGTCGAGGCTGTTATACCCACAAAGGAAAGCCAACTCCAAATGAATGCCCATAGTTTTGGAATGGGATGTCCAATGGAATGGGAAGTTCCTATAGATGTGATGGACAGGTATCCACATAGTTTTGGCAATATAGTGAATGTGACAGTATTTATGGTTGCCACATACATTTCATCTGATTGGTTGTAACTGAAAGAACTAAAACAGAATTTACCCATTCCTATGTGATGTAATACTTGTTATCTGAAGCTTGACCATGAAATTGGATAGGAACAGACGTCATAGCAGGTCACAGAAACATCCAAAAGGTTAAAACAGCCAAAACTCTTTTTCATTTCAGATTTCAGAACAGTTCACTCTATTAAAAGTTTTAGGGCCTTTTTTCCCAGTGTTCATGATTAAATAGGACCTCGTGCTTATTAAATAGCACAGTGCGACCTGTGTTCATTTCTTTCTTATTAGCTTACCCTTTCTTCTAGGCTGAATCAAATTTTCTAAAAGCACTGTAGCATGACGACTGTCTTAACTTTCCATCCTTAAGCATTAGACGAGTGTTACTTGCTTTACATTCTGTTGCTTTAGAGTAAGTGGGTTTGGATTGTGAACAATCTGACCAATCAATATTAATGAGCAACTGAACTGTATTTAAAATTTCTAAAGGTTCTAAAACTTTTAGAACCTCTTTCTAGAGGTTCTAAAACTTCTAATTTGAAGTTGACTCTCTGTCTGGTGTCTGTTAGCAATGTCAGTGAATATATGTATATATATGAATAGAGTGAATATAAAAATGAATATATGGCTAAAAATATGTTTAATGAGCTTGTTGGATGTCCCATTCCAAAACCATGGGCGTTTATACAGAGTTGTCCCCCTTTGTGGCTATAACAGCCTCCGCTCTTCTGGGAAGGCTTTCCAAGTTTTTGAAATGTGTCTGTTTGAATCTGTGTCCATTTAATCAAAAGAGCTTCTGTGAAGTCAGGCGCTGATGTTGGACGAGAAGGCCTGGCTCACAAGTGACATTCCAATTCATCCCAAAACTGTTCAGTGGGGTTGAGGTCAGGGCTCTGTGCAGGTCACTGGAGTTCCTCCACACCAAAGCTCATCAAACCATGTCTTTATGGACCATGCTTGGTGCACAGGGGCACAATCATGCTGGAACAGGAAAAGGCATTTCCTCCAACTGTTGTCACAAAGTTGGAAGCATATAATTGTTTAAATTGTCTTAGTATGCTGTGCTGAATGAAGGGGCCAAATCTCTAAAAACAGCCCCAGACCCATTATCCCTCCTCAACCAAACTTTACTGTTGGCACTGTGCATTCTAGAGTTTTAGCTACCTTAGAGACCCTCCCTGATGCATTGTTTCAGGAAAATACATTATGATTACTGATTAACAATGACAATTTGAAAATGGCCACATTAAAGATGCAGGGAGATACTGTAGCTTCTCTATCAGCCCAACTATCGCTTTGAACGATTTCTGGAAGCAATTGACTTGAAAGAGTGGGTCATCACCCCCCACCATTGCCTCTTTCCCTCCTCCAGTAGAGATACCATCTCCACATCCAAGTGACCAATCGAGTCTTCCTTGGAAAACGTTCCATAAATTAGGCCGTTCAACCGGCCTGCACTCTCCCCATCTATCTCTCTCACTCCCTCTCATTGATAAAATTAATTGGATTAATTCCATTTGCATGCCTTAATACACCTTTCCGAGAGATGGATTCAGTGATAACGCGCTCGATGCCGGAGCAGGCCATGTTGAATCTTACCTATGGGGGTCTTTGGTGCTGACGATGATATGCACGCATTCTCTCTTGCTGAAAGCCCTCTCGATCCACGATTTCTGCGCCTGAGGAGACACACAGAGAGAGCTTAACGTCAGAGAGGTGAGCCACATCCGTCCACCCCAGAAAGCCAATCAGGGAACCTACGATAAATCCCCTAACAAGCTCTCTGTCTGCGCATGCTTGGCTGGGTTCGTTACCTGGAGCAAGGCTTTCCAGAGTGACAATTCATTATCCCAGGGTTTTCTCTCGGAGGATTTACATATTTCAGGGATTACACTGCTCTGCTGTGGCAGAAAATCCGATGTGAAAGTTTTACTCTGATGCTTCAGTTGCAGTAATGATGGACTTGATAGCAAGTTTAGTCAGAAGAACCAGTACCTGTAGAACTATACCAATAGAATGGAACATACATAACTGGTAAAAGGTAGGCTTTGGAATATAGATTTGTATTTTTAAATGAGATCCTGATGTACTTTTATACAGTTCTCTACTTTGTTTTTAACTCTAGACAGATGTGTTTCAATGACGGTTGTCAAAGTTGTCCACAGTACTGCAATACATCTTTTATATAGCTTTAAAAGCAATACTTTTAGCACCTTCATCAGACTACATCAGACTTATGGATAATTCAACAAGCAGCAAACTAACAAAAGCAACAGCAAAGTGAACCTCTGTAAGAAGAATCCACAGGCTGTATGAATGAGAGCAAGAGGCTACAATCATAGAGGAGTTGGAAACTTTGACTGTATATATGATACCTGTAGTTACCACAGCCATTTTATCATTTTATCATCTAATCAAGTAGTTTGGTGATACTAGATTGGATGAGGTCATGGTGAACTAGCTCTGCAGATGGGACCAATTTGGTCACTCCTATATCCTAGGAGGCATTCCCAAAACAAGAAGCGATGTGAAATTTGTGGCAAGGTTTGGTCAGATTGTAATATTTGGAGAGGAAACCAACATAATGTTATTTGACTGTGAAAATAGCACTTCAGATGAATTCCATAGTGAAAGGCCTTAAATTACACAAAAGCACAGGAAATCGCTCCATACTTCAAACCTCCCATAACCTCCAAACCAGTGGCCATGGGGACCTAGTCCTTCTCATTTAGAAGCCAAGTCCCAGATTTGTTCAGACTGCTCAAGTCCTTTGATGCTAATGAAAATTCATGAATTCATTCAATGAAGATTCATTTGTACTTTTGCAATAAAGGATAAACCCAAAGGTGCTGAGTTCTTGCATCTTCATTCTTTTATTTTCACCTAAAACAAATAAAAGTGATCACCAAAACTTTTATTTTATCATCGCTCATTTTTGCCAGATGTGATCACCATGGCAACTACACTTTTCAACAAGAAAATCTTTAATCATTCAGCATGCTAATGCTGTAAAAGATAGTCAATTAGCCAATGCCCACCATAATATTCTGTCAGTTGTTATACTTACTAGGCCGGGGGTACCCAAACCTGTTCCTGGATATCTACCACTCTGGAAAGTTCATATCCAACACACCTGACTCTAATATTCAGACCCCCTTGGAAGACTTCATTAACTGGTTCAGGTGTGTTAGATTAGAGTTGGAGCTAAGCTCTGTAGGCTGGTAGACCTCCAGGACCAGGATTGGGCACCTGGAGATCTACCAGGTGCCCAACTGATTGCGAGATCAGCAACTATGTTTTTGGTTATGGAAGCTACAGTGAAGTAGCTAGAAGCTAGTTGGTGTTTGTCAACCTCACTATAGTGATGAACACGATGCTTCTTTGCGGGTCCCCCGATCTGTAACCAGGCACCCCTAAATTGAAATTCTGGCTTCAACACTGTTGTGAATGCATCCCAACCCCCTGAACTTTAGCTGTCAATGCCCCAAACTTGCACTTCATCACAGCATGACAGGTTCTGGAACCTCTAAAATTACCTTGTGAACATACCTCTGAACCCAGACCTTGATCCCAACTAACCCCCCCTGACCCCGGCCTTCCCACGGTAAACCCTTACTCCTATAAAAATGTTGTCTCCGGGGGGAGGGTCCTAGCTTTTACAGGGAAACCCTTGCGCGATGAATCAGCAGATCCGGGGCGCGCCGGTGACGACCCGTATTCACGTAGCTTTCCGCCGGCGTGAGCACGCACAAAGTAGGTCCTGGGGAGATGCGATGCTTTGTGACAGAGCTGGCAGGAGAACAGCGGTCTCGTTCATGTACTGTGAAAAGGCGATGCATTAACGCGGCGCTGCAAGCACAACAAGGAACTCTGGTGCAGTCAGCTCTAATCAGCTATAACCAAAATGAGCCGTAAAGTGAAAGAGACTTTCAGAAGTTTTAAAAGTGAGTTCCTTTCCAGCAACGTGTTCTTCATGATAAAACCCAGCATTAGAACTCATTAGTTTCAGGCACTGCCTTTGGTGTGAGAAGGGCAGGTAACATGGAACAATATTAACTGCTGCAGGCTTCATAAAGGACATTGAGAACCATAATATTTTAGTCAGAACAATTTCTTTCCCAGGCCTTGTCGGTGCCTGTTGACATGATGCAAGAGGCTTGCTAGTCTCTGACAGCCGACAGCAGCCAAAAGCCCCATGGTGTAATTAAGATTCATCGTCAGGTTCGCCCCCCCAAGAGGCGCCGAACAGCTTTGCTCGTCGTTGGAAATCTCTCGGCGTCTATATGGCCTCTCCACAGGTGATGTTATAGACTGGCTACAGGCACCGTGCAATAATAACAACAATAACAGCATGCTAGCAATAACCCTAAAATCAAATTCTGGATTAATACACAACGCCGCTAGATGCCTATATTATATGAAGGCAACTGAATCCTGACTGAGCAGAGAAGACTATGCAATCAGGAGTCAATTTAATCAATCCAGTTTTCACAGTTCAGCTCAATTCTACCTCTCACACAGCTTGGAGAATGGCCGCAGGCATCTCAACTGTCTCCGTCACTCAGTGGAACTCTGCTTCGGAATCAAGAATGCAAGAAAATGTTGGTCGTTGTACCACAAGGTTGGTGGAATTTTGTATGCAATTTAAATGTAGTCTATTACATTCAAGTTGTAACCCCACTGACGGTAACACCACTGACAAAATTATGAATAAAAGTGTAATAAATTATATTTCTTTGCCACCTTAGTTTCAAATTGCATGTAGAAAATGACCAATGTTGTGTTCACGTTTTTATTTCATATTATTTTTTAAAATCCTTAAATGTTTCATGAGTTACACCTTTGACACAATCCTTTTTGCAACAGTAAGCCAAATTTATCAGAAATGTAAAGACATTTCACTAACTGTGATATCCCTACATAAAGTAATTAAAAAAAACAGCATTTTTTTAATGCTTCTGTAATATCGCTGACCAAAAAATCTTGTGACAAGATTTATTAACGAAATAAAATAATAACAACTGTGTATATTTAAATTATTTGTAACATAGGACAGGCAATAATTTTAATGACTTTTTTTACTATTTAAACTGAAAAACAACGATCAAAATTGTTGTTTCAAATGAAATGTTACTTAAGTCATGGCTGTTTTTCATGCGCACCATAACTTACAGTCACTAAAATAAAAAATAAACAAGAACAATTATCCTAGTTTTTGTTGGTTCATCTAGGAATTGAACAAAGAATATATATCCATCAACTTTCTATGGTTTATTCTTATTTTAAGCTATTTCCTTGGCTTTAAAGTCATGGAACACCATTTGCCAACGCAATAAAGAATATACCAAGAGCTCCAGTAACTCTGCAAAGTTCCAGTATATGTTCAAGGAAATGTATGAAAGTGTGTAAAAGTGCCAGTACCTGTGTAGATCTTCTTTTTGGATAGCCTTGCTCATGGTGAAAGTCATACTCATGTCCTGGTCAGTCCACAGTTCTGCTAGGGTAGACCCCAGTTGTACCGAGCTGGTGTGGTCCCCAATTCTACCAAGCTGGTCTGGCCCCAGATTCTACCAAGCTTGTCAGTTCCCCAATTCTATCAAGCTGGTCTGGTCCCCAATTCTACCAAGCTGGTCTGGCCCCAAAGTCTACCAAGCTGGTGTGGACCCCAATTGTACTGAGCTGGTGAGGACCTCAGTTCTACCGAGAGCCTCAAGCTGTTGACCAGACATGCTTACTCACATCCGCCCCAGTGGCTGAACTGATTTGCACTGGGATTTCAGGGCTAATCTCTTCACAGCTGAAGAGAATAGAGGCAGGACACCCCCCCCCTCATGCCACACATACACAGTTCTGGCTGGTCCACCAAACCCAGTGCCCCTGCAATAACAAGTCCATAACAGTGGGGCACTCATAGCCTATTAAGACCCCATCCTATTTTCCCATAAATTGGCTGCAAAAATCTTTCCAGGCTTAGTTGACCCCTCCTGAACCTCAGTGTTGGATTATAGTCTTGGTCACGGCGAGCGGCCGATGCTACCAGAGAACTTTTCACTTCCTTGCCTCAGCAAATTCGACAAAACTCGCCAAGCCTCTACACACAGCAACCCAAAATTACTCTATAAACTGAAGGTTACAGGCCTGGAACAAAGGCAGTGTTAAGAACAGTCATTATCCTCCACTTTTGACACATGGTAATTACCACCCCTACATATATATATCTACATGAATACACACATGCTGCTGACACAACACCTACGTGGAAAAAATTTTCACCTTATACTGTCCATGACTTGCTGTTGAAGTGAAGCTGAAAGCCATTTTCCACTGATATGAGACCAGACTTGCTGGTTCTCTTATAATGGTTAAGATTTCAGTGTAGTTGGGTCATTTTATCCCAACCTTTCCACATGAAAATGAGCTCAAAATGAGATAAAAGAAGAGAAGATCATTTTTAGTTTTGAATGTTAATTTTACTGAATGTTTGATCTTTGTTTTTCAGGTTAAATGTCATTTAAATAAAAATGATGATGTCTTTTGAATACTTCAATTACGGATATCTCAAAGGAAGAAAGAATAACCCTGAGAAGTCCAAGTTAATGAAATTTCTTTTTAGATTTCTGATGAATTTGGCAAAAATTGACAGCTTCATGTTTAAAAAGACTGCATTGGTGGTGTTACT